ATATATATATATACACACACACACACACACACACACACACACACACACACACTATCTACACTACTGGGATTAGTGTGGTACGAAACCATCAGTGGACTGATTCAGTAATCACTCACCCTTAAACCTAGCATCCTTAATCCTAACATTGCACTATGAATCAGTCATATGCTCTAGATCCAGCTACCTCTGAAAGAGCCTCCATCTGTGACTGCGTGAGGCTTTGGGGGAACATCTAGACACAGTCATAACATTTCACCCCTGGACCCCCAAGACTCAGGTGTATCTCTTTATGCAAGAGGTATTTAACCCATCTCAAAGAGTTGCCAAGGTCCTAACAGCTTCAGCACTGCTGAAAAACCCAAGTCCAAAGTCTCCTCTGATATTGAAGGCAGATTCATAGCTGTGAGCCCCTGTACACATGAACAGAAAGTGAAACACTTCCAACACACAATGGCACAAAATAAACATTACCATTCCAGAAGGCACAAATAGGGGGATGGCAAGGAATGAGAACAAAGCAAGTCCAAAATCCATCAGGGCAAACATTAAATTCCATAGTTCCATGTCCATCACCCCTGGCAATCTGTGCCAAGTTGTGAGCTCCAAAGGACCCAAGCCCCTGGCACTTCCAGTAGCTAGCCCATGGCTTCTCTCTGGGGCCAGCTCTGCTCTCTCCTTGCAGTTTTTCCTCAGACAGTCCACATTCCTGTATTCTCCAAACTTCTGGGGTCTCCACTGCACCTTTGGCTTCACACGCTGCCCTCTCTGGGGCACACTGCCTACCTTCCCAGGGCTTCTGAAATCTGGGTGGAAGCCTTCCTGACTCCACAACTCTTGCATTCTGCATGCACCTAAAACGAGCACCACATGTATGATGCTAAGGTGTGCTGCCAGCTGGAGCAGTAGCCAGGCTTTCTTTCTCTTGGCTGTAGGGGTCAAGTGCCTGGATCCTGTACACTCTGAACACAATCCCAAGGAACAGAGTCTCTAGGCTGGAGATCCCAACAGATTCACCATTCTGGAACATGGCGCTCTGGAGCTCTCTTCTCAATGCAATGTTTTTCACCTTTGCAACTCTGAGGCTGCGAAGACTGGAGTCCTGCTGATTCTTCTGATGTCCTCGGGCCAGCTTCTCTGTTGTCTTCTGAAATATTTGGCTTTTTCTTGCTAGCCTTTTCAGGGACCAATTTCTCCTCTGTTCCATATTTGTAGGCCACAGCTTTACTGGAGCTCCCTTTCTCACCTGACTCAAAACATCTTAGATCATTCTGCTGGGCTGTTTGCTACTGCTTCTCACATGAATCTGGCTTAAAGCCGCTAATAGTAGCCACTGTCTCAACATTAGACTGCCTTCAGATTTCTTCTGCAAGATTAATTAGTCTGCCACCCTTAATCTCAGTCTCAGTAAGAAAAAAAAATCATGAAAATACCACGCCTTGGACAAGATAGGAATTGGTTTCTTTCTTACATAGTAGTGAAGATGCAGGCGGAGTGGTGGGCTGGGCTAGTTCCCTGGTTCCTCCTGTCTTGTTACATGGCCACATTTAGTTAGAAGACAGGCTGTGAGCTTAGACTAGTTGGGCAGCTAAAGTGAGAAAGAAGAGTGTGAGAATACAGAGGAGACAGAGAACAGACACTGGGAGACAGTAAGCAAACCCAAGCTGATCTACGCATCGGCTTCCTCTTTTCCTGCTACAGGTGAGCTTTGTGCTCTTGGGAACATGACGGCTGACAGCTCTAGACTCACATTGTTCTACACTGGTAACTTTTCTTGTTGCTGAGATAAAATACCCAATACCCAAAGCTAAAGGAGGCAGAGATTATTTAGCCACAGTTTGTGGAGGTTTTGGTCTGTAGTTGGCTAGCTCTAAGGAGGGCAGCATGGCAGAGGAGCACTGCAGAGAAAAAACAGTTCTTGGCAGGCAGAAGGCAGCAAAGCAGCAGCCTGTCCCTCCCTTTTATCCCTTCCTATCTACCCCCCTTTCAGATGGTGCCACCCACACCCAGGGTAGGGCACTCTTAATCCCAATATCACACACTTAACCCCAGCATTACACAGCCTAGATCCAGCCACCTCCGAAAATCCCCACCTGTGACCGTGTGAGGCTTTGAGGGGACATTTAGACGCAAGCCATAACAGTAACCCTAAAAGAAAGGTTTCTTCCTTTCTAGTTGTAGTCTGGCAAATCCCAAAAAAAGTATTTAGTGACTTCTGGTAAGTCCCAGGCCTCTTGGATCAATAATTGCGGCCAGTGGCATTTCACTGTATGACTAACTCAATCTGGGTTATGGCTTTTCTTCAACGGCCTGTTACCA